TTTTTCCATTCCTATACTTCTCACTGTCTAGGGAGAAACATGCCTTCCTTGGAATTCTCATTTAAAACCAGGCTTTGATTCACAGTCAAATGTCCTGAAATCCTTTCACCTGCATCAGACCATCACCTACCATATTGCATCACCTGCTTGAGGGCAGGAGAGAGTTTCTTAGATGGCTGTGCTGAGGCATTGATGGAGAAAGCTGAAATACTTAATTAGGATTGTAATGAACTCAGAAAACAAACATCAGGTTTTAAGAGATGGTTTTCTAAAGAATTCAGTTATAAACAAGTTCTTAGGGAATGAATTAAAATGCTTGAGCTCATATCATCAACAATTATTAGAAGAAATAAAAATAAAATGAAAACATCTAAAAAATTATGATAGCTTATACAGCACTGGGGGTGGGGGGTGAGGGAAATCTCTACTGTGGTATCCTGGAGAGAATGAGAATTGCTAAGACTCCTCCAGAGGGCCCTGTAGTGGTAAGAATTATGATCTTACAAATATATTTCTTTTTGTTACAGAAGTCGTGTCTTATGAGGAAGCCATTGTGAACATTAAGATTGAATTTTACAAATAGGGCATTTAACGTTCAAAAATTGGAGGTTGGTTGTAGCAATTAATACAGGCAGTAGCATACAGACATTAAAACAATGCAGCAACTCAATGTTCATTACAACCCAAGTGTAAGAAATGTCACTGAAAAGCCACAGTTCTCACTGTAATTTCTTCTGGGGCCAAATATGAGTGACCACAGCCGAGGTTTTGATTCATCCCAAACACTGTGTTCCAATGAAGTAGCAATTTCTTACATTTTTGTGATAACAGCATAAGGAAGTCATGAAACAATACCCCTTTAATATATTGCTGGGTATATCAAGTGTAGGCAGTTTTGGACAGAGTGGAGAAATCTCTGCTGTAGGCTTCAGCTGCTGTGTGGTGGCATTCTTAGCTTTTGGGTTGGTGGAAGGTAGGGGCCTGTTCATACAGTCTAAAAGGATTTGCTTCATGGTCATAAGCATGTTGGGGCACATACCAAGGTGTGTAATAAATGGTTATTTAAAGGGCTAAGATTGTAAGAGAGTTTGGACTCTGGATCTGCAACATTCCATCCTCTCCACAAGCACTGAAGTTCTTATCATTCAGTCACTCTGCAAAAATGTTCAGTGTAGGTGATGCTTCTTACCCAGAACTCCAGTTGACGAAAATGTGTGATAAGAAAAAAGATTATGAAGTAACACATGCAAATTACGATTCCATTCACGGCATCTGTCCACCCACTCAGAACAAAACAGAAAATACTAGAAGCACTTAGGTATTACAAAGCAACCATTAATTCTGAGTGGTGCTTTCTATATTTTGTAAAATACCTACCATAAACCTGTCACCATCTGATAAAACTAAAAGTAAAATGGACATGATTTAACTTAATAATAATATAGGGCAATAGAACATCCCCTCTCTTGGAGGAGCCAAGAGACCAAAGTGATGGTGTTCTCAGACTAAGCAACTGATGTTTAGGTGGATCCATTCCAGTGGCTGGCTCCGACGGGAGCAGCCTACACTGGGAAGTGAGCAGAGGGAGGGCTGCATCGGGTCCTCAACACAATTAGCTTCCAGCTTCAGATATTTGCCAAGAATGTGGAGAGATGACACGGGGGTTTCTTCTTACTACATCCCACCAGGACTCATAATATCAATTTGTCTTGTGAGTCACCAGTGATGATGACTCTGATGACATGAAATGAAACAAGAAGTAAATTGCAGCCCTCTCTAATGCATGGTGATTTTTGTGTGGTCACGATTTGAGAATCTAACTATTCTGTTCATCAGCAATTGTTCTGTTTGATTAATGAATGCCTGGGTGAGTCTGTGGGTTCTTATTGGGTGGGTTACTGTCCATTGTAACTTCATGTTTCCAGGTTATCCTTAGCTTCTTGTGACCATTGAGAGCCTCTTCAAGCTGGTCTCCATGCTCTTGCCACTCGTTTCCAAAGTTCTCAGACACTTTCGTATGCATTGGCCAAACCAAGTCCTATACCATACTCTTCATGCCAAACCTAGGATCTGCAGGTTCTGCAGGGAGCTGAGGAACAACTCAGAGTTCAGAAGCTCAGACCTACCTGAGAGGTGTGTTCCCTGTTCCAAGGACATTTCTGCCTCTGTGGGCAGAGTAAGGGAATTTATGTAGGTGTAAAATGTACTCACTCATTCCTATATACACACTTAAAATTTTTTTGTTGTTGTTATTTCAAGTTAGGGAACAAGCTTGTTTCACATGTAAGTCCCTTCTCCCTCTCCCTCCCCTC